GGTGTTTAGGCAATATCCATCTCCACCAATGGTGAAAGTTTCAGACTTCTAACTGATCAGGGTCGTGAGTTATTGATTAATTATCATTAATGACATTTTCATTAATTAACTCATATCTTCGTCAAAAAGGCGCATGGGCACAAACCAACTAGGGGTTTTGCACTACTCACTATTCCCTATATGATGAAAATAATGTGAGTCGAAAAGCGATTTACCACCTCGAAAGGTTCCCTCGTTAGAGAATTGGAACCCGTTGAATTTTTTCCAACCGGATCGATCAGTTTCTGCTTTCCAAAAACGAAGCATTCGGTAGATTAAATACGTAGAACAATCGGTTAAAAACCGGTCGACTCTATATCAGATATAAATTTCTGATTTTTAGAAACCTGTCCATCGGATTTAGATATTTTTGCATGAGCTTGAGGACGAGCATTGAGTACAAACTCACGCCAACACCGAACGTTTTTTTCATACTAGTCTCTTTAGTAAGAATGTGAAATAAATAAAACATCTGTCGCATGATTTCTAGATTGACCTTGAAAATGTAAATAACTAACGAGGGACCCTATCCAGGTGTCAACAAAAGTTTGAGGTAGATGTTCGAGGCCCCAAAATCGGTTGAACATACAACATGAGTATGATGAAGCCGAGTCCAAAGTAGTGTCTGGGTTGTATAACCGCTGCTACACGGATTGCGGACACACTCACCATGGTGCCACCCAAGCGCGAGTATAGCCTGCTCCTGCACTGAATGCAATTGCTCATGGAGGTCAACAGTGTCCTCAGAGCTGAGAGACGCGATTATGGCTTCCTCACCAAGTGCACTATCAGCCCCCCCCCACATGCCTTCAAACGAGATCGAGATGCCATTATTCGACAAGAACTGGACAAGTCCAGACAGGATAAGAGTAGAACAGACATGGATGCAGCATGCGTTCTACAAACGTCTTAGAGGAAGATATCTTAAGCAGCAAAAAATATTGTCATGTTCCAAAGATTTCACTGGCGTTTGCGTTAGTGGAAAAGAGGATTTGAAAATTACATACTTCCATTGTCTGCTTTTGAACCTTGTACTGGAACTAAAGTTGAGAATATTCGTGGAGTTGCTGGACCTCCGACACCAAATGAAACTTAAATACAAAAAGAAACCAACTCCACATTTTCTTTTGAGTTATTCACTTAAAAACTGATCAAAATTTGTTTACAAACAGTACGGCCATCCTTTCTAACCACCAGCCTACATAACATCGTAAGATTTTCTAAAACCACTTCCATCGTGCTGACATAAACAAGGACAGCAATTACTGCAAGTTTTTTGTGATCGTCTGTTTTTTGCAAACGCTGGCGTTTAAAGGTCATTGTCAAGATTAGTACGAGTCATTTCTTGCAGATCTCCCGTTCTATACAACTCATCCTCTAGTTTTGCTAGATGCTTATTTGAATTATAGTTCCTCTGATTAAACGATAGCCAATGACTTAATTCACATTGGTATTGTTGTCTTTAGCAAAGTCGTCAAGCATCGGTCATTCTACGTCGTTTATGACGATTAGAAACCTCACTAAAATCTCTAGTGAGACGTTTTGACCTTTCTTTAATCGGTTTTAAGTCAGGAAATTCACTTCTACGTATAAATGAGAAGAAACTTTTCTCGGTAATGTTCGAGATTGCGGTCATCAAATTTGGTCTTACTTTTGATGACATAGGAGAGTATTTTTGATTTAATCAAAAGAGCTAGAAGCCTAATCCTGAGTTAATTTGATAACAACAAAATGTATGAGACGAATAATCAGACTTTTGAAACAGCAAATTCTGCATTTGTTTGAAATTTCTCGCCTTGTTCATGTGATATGACATCTATAAACTGCTAACTAACAAAGTTGTACTCCACACAAGTGTAAATTAATTTCATTTCTATTTATGAAGTTTTCCATCTTATGTGATCATTAATATTATTTATTTTCAACAATCAGAACAAGTGCAATAAAGCAATCTGATCGGAAAATTTGATGAGCAACTTAAATGAAACAAAGTACTACAGAAATAAAAATTATGAAAAGAACCATGTCTGCGTACGTACTGTTCAATGATTATTGTTCAGGAGGAGTATGAGCCATGATTCGGAATTACTTAGTTGATTTCACCTTATGACTATCCCACTTCTGATGTTTGTGTAGATAAGTAATCTTATAAGAGTTTTGAGACGACGCTTCTACGAGAAAGAGCTGAGTGAGTCTGTAGACGAACGTTACTTGTTATTAATTACCGAGTAAAAGTAATGTAGCACCCCTAAATATGAAGCCTTTTTAATACTGTATGACCAAAGATCTCATTTTCTTGCTTTCTAGCCACATTTTCCGCTCAAAAATGAAGTATTTCATTGAAGAACCTTAAAAACATGTCAGACAGGCACGACCAATGGCCTGTTTTATCCTCCGGTAGCGTCATTACCTTTGTTTATACTAAAGTTGAATGAACGAGCAGCTGTAGAATTAATAGTTACTAGTTGACGTAAAGTATGGATTGACAGTGATATTGGTCTGTAGTATTCGTGTCACTCAGCATGATAATAAGTTGTTTACGTGACGTTTTGTGAACAGAAATGAAGACGGAATTATTTCTCGTCAATTTCGCTATCCCAAAAGATGCTCCCCGGACAGTTGCTCTCCAGTGATACTTGGCTTTGAGTTATGTCTTTTTTTTTTGTTGACAAACTCAAAATATTTTTCAAGTCTAGAAAAATTGATTAAATATGAACAGACTGAGATATTTAGAAATCTAGACATGATTTAAAATCTCTGAGTAATCTACAAATTAATTGTAAATTTCTAACTGATTTTACTCCATTTTACCGAAGTGTCAAAATGTGGTGATAGATATTTGAGGATTCATAAAGTATGTAGTGCAAAAAGTACGAAAATGTTGTAAATTACCAAGGAAACTTATCAAAATAATCTTTATATAGTTAATGATATTTTTTTCTATTATTGTATTCTATATGTTAATCTAATAAACTGATATATTGTACTTGTATGTCATGAAAATTCTCTTTGGTATTAAAATTGGGAAGCATCATTCATGGATTTGTTAGTTTCACTTGATGAAAACCCTTCTTTAATTTCTTAGTTGATTTTATTATCTCAAATAATCTGTTGAATAATTAGAAGTGAAGAATATGGAAATTATTAAAAAGAAAGATATTTTTGTTTCATTCTATGACATCATTAATAAGGACAAAAATGAAAGAATTAATGAAAAACGACAAACAGAGTAAACTGAAGCACCTACTGATCCGGATGTTGTAGTAGTAGTAATAGTAGTTGTCTCGTCCATATTATAAACTATACTGTTCTTCCCCGAACACAATGTAGAATTGGTGTTATCTATATTACATGCTTCGATGGAAGCTATATGAGTGCTACCTGGAATAAAGTCAACCGTTGTTTCGTACATCAACGTAGTAGTTGGTAAGTTGACCGTCGTAGATTCATGAGAAACTAACAGCTGGTAGAAATAATTATCTCCAGCAGGAGTCAGAGGAGGTGACCAGATAAAACGAAGACTAGTCGAAATCTGTTGAACTTGAAATTTTTCTGGTGATGATGGTCGACCAACATCTGTTCGATACAACCTTGTTTCATTTTCCACAGCTCCAACACAACTTGCTGTGAATGAATAGAATGTATCTGGTGTAAGTCCTATTACTAATGCTCTACCAATATTTGGCCAAAATGAATCAAAGATGGCAGGATCCTGTGCATCTGTTTTGTTGGTGTTCGCTTGACACGAACATCTTCCTGACGGACAATTTAACACTTTGATCCATAAACTACAAATAGTGAATTAGAAAAAAATAGCCGATGAGAAAGACGATAAACTAACTAGATGCTATCCGATCTGATGACAGATGTGTTTGTCAAATTCGTTTCAAAAGGAGGATAGACGTCAAAATATTCGATTGTTGTGGCGTTCGTCATCCAACAAACGGTCAGTAGTGAAAGAAGAAAAACCCATTGAAGTTGTTTCAGCTGCATCCTTTTTACACTTTTCTAAAAGCAAAATGCATGAGAAGGAAAACAATGAATCTTTAGACTTGTATGTTCCTGTTCTTTCTGATAAAAACATGCAGTATCAGCTTTTTAAGTATACGAACGATGTGAATCACAAAATAAAACAATCTCTCTCTATACTACGCAAAATAACAAACGCGTCATTCTTTTCTCTCCTTTTTTTGTGATAAAGGTAACGCAACCGAGAATCTTTCTGATAAAAACATGCAGTATCAGCTTTTTAAGTATACGAACGATGTGAATCACAAAATAAAACAATCTCTCTCTATACTACGCAAAATAACAAACGCATCATTCTTTTCTCTCCTTTTTTTTGTGATAAACGTAAATCAACTGAGGATGATATATCGTTATTTCATACAGATTATTAAGGTTGTCTTTTCTAACACTGCATTTCAGAATTCTCATAATTAGGCATGCATCAAACCCGATTGGAGTTCGAAAGTTCGAGTTCGGGTTCCATATCTCTTCGCCAAGCTTAAACAGAATTGACCACTTAAATAGTTTTCCCAACATTTCTGGAGGATATAGAATCGATTTTGAAACTATGCTGAATCGAATGGTTCTAATTCTTCATTTTTTAGATCATTATATAACTGTACTTTCTCTTTCCACTCTCCCCCATTGCAGACAATTGTCTTTGATTACCAGATAGGCATCGGGGTTCTGTCCCAGTGCTTTGGCTTGTCTTTCTCGACGCCGTCGCGCTCGTTCTTCCTCCGACATCAGCTGATTGATCTGCTTGTTTCGCCGTTCGGCATTTTTGATCTACGAGTCTCAGACCAATGAAGGATTTCGTTGCTCAAGGCCACTTACTTTCGTTTGATCGCCTTCGAGCCGAGCTTGAGCCGTTCGACTGATCTGTTCAAAGACCTCCTTGGCTTTCGCAGAGAGTTTCAACTGAAATCGATCGATCGTCGTGGGGAGCGACACTTGAAAGAACCTTCGAGTGAAAGAAAGAAAGATACGTGAGAAATGCCGGATGATTGATCCGTACGGTTCGTTGAGCAATTCCTGAATGGTCGGGAGATCTCCGATGGGCGCGAGGATCTTCAATAGGATCTGCTGCACCGGAACGGGAATGCTATTCGGGAGTTCAACACACGAACTAGTCGGACATTCTTCTCCCGCCGCTAATTCGTAGAGAACTCGTCCGAAGGCATAGACATCGCAGTGCTCCAATGTCTGAAGAGAAAATCAACATCGAATCTAATCAACTGAGATCTGCACACTGACTCGGATTTGTTTCAGACTGGACATGTATCCTCGATACTTCGACGAGACGCCGCTGACGACATTGCCGATGTCGAGCAATGTGATTGGTTGAGCTTGTTCGAGATCGAAGAGGATATTCCCCGAATGTAGATGACCGTAGGCAAGGCCGTTGTCGTAGATGAAACGCAGTGCTTCCAGAATCAACCGTCCGTAGGTTTTGATCTGATTCAGTTCACTGGAACGACCGGACGACCTCTTCCCGTAGCGTTTCCAATAGCTACTGGCTGTGGGTTTGGTCTAGAGAACGAACATTCGAAAAAGAAAGCGTTGGTATCTCGTCGTACCTGATGGATGTGATCCTTCAGAGAACCCTTTGAGTAAAACCGCGAGACGGTCAGTATTCCACTTTCGTTGGCATAGACTTCTTCGATGGGAACGAGCAGAGGATGCTGAAAGGAAGAGCACGCTGAGAGCGAGACGAAGAGCACTGGCTTACTGTCAACGATTTCAAGAGTTTCAAGCAATTGGTTGCTTCTCGTTCTCCTCCACTCTTGTCCAACCCATAATGACACTAGAAGAACGATGTGCGAAGAAAGACATTGAGGGAGTCTCTACTCAAGTGAGCAAGTAACGCTCGTCTTTGGGGGGGCCATTCTTCGCGGCGAGGAAATAGTTCTTGTTGTACCGCCAGCCGAGCTCGAGCAGAGGCTCGACGATCTGATAGACGTCATTCGTTGAACGAATGAACATCGAGACGTGTTGAAGAGCCAACTCTAGCGAAGATGTAGAATGACGTGTCGAGCATCGCCTGTCCAGTGAGGAACCTGAGTACTTGATGCTGTGATGTTCGGGATCGAGAAAGGATTGAACAAGGATGGAATTGCTCAGATCGAGTTGTTTGACGAGTGTGTCTAGAAATGCCTGAATGGATGTCGAGGCGAGGACTCGATTTCGCTGCGCGAGATCCTTCCTTCCTACCTGAAGACCTCGTTGTCTCTCGGCCATGAATGCTCGATCGGTGTTTCCCAGCAGTTTCTTCTTCGGCAATTCGAAATCGAATCCGTATTCTTTCAAGCTATTACTCAAATCATAGAACTCTCGAAAACGCTTGCTGATCGACCAGGAGGCCAACGGATCGTTGGAGGCACGGGCCACACGAAGGACGTAGACCTACGGATCATCTGTGACGAAGAAGAAGAACAAGGGCAACGATCTTACGCCGTGCCCATCGACCAGTTGAGAACTTTCGATGGTGCAAGTCATCGGTAAGGTATCATCGATGGATGCTCGTGAAGGAACGCTTGCCCTTGCCATGGTGCGGTGGCGAAAAGAAAATGTGAAGCTCTTGCTTCTCTCTGTCTATCTGTTTGCTCGGAGTCCGGAGGGCGAACGATGAAGAGGAGATAAGAAAGAGAAAAAAAGGCAAAAGGAGAGTCAAGGTAGATCAACTGGCATCTCGTCGTCGTCATTGGTCTCGGCACTGTCCGCGCTGATCGTTGACGACGAACGTTTGGAATGAGGATGATGGAGAGGTTTGGATCTGAAATCATCGATGAGCGATTCTCCATTCGATGGATTCAAAAGAGAGTCTCACGTCGATGTTTGCGTTTCTTCTCCGGCAGACGACTGGTGTCGATCTCCAGATTGTTCACCGGGGGTGTGGTGTCGACGATCGCCACGCGTTGATTGACAGTCAAGCATTGATTCAGTCCATCGGACTCGGTTCTGGTCATCGAACGGGTCTGGAAATGTTCGATCTCCTCGAGAATGGCCTTCTGCAGCTGTTCCAACGTCCATTTCTAGAACATTCTTCTTCGTCAGTCCAGTGATCAGCAGGAGATCCCTTCGCTCACTTCACTTTCGAAGCCGAAGTCGAACTTGTCCGTCTCTCCTTCCATCAGCAGATCTCCGTTGTCGTTCACTTCAATAAGGAACTCCTGAACGAACGGATGTCGAAGTGCTGCCTGAGCACTGATCCGTTGCTCGGGCTCGAGGACGAGCAACTGACGAAGCAGATCGATCCCTTCGTCCGTGCCATTGGGATAGAGAGCTTTGAAGTTGGCCGGTTGCCGATTTCCCACGCCTAAGAGAGAGAGATTCGTTCGAAAAGGTCCGATTGAGACTCACTGAGAATCAATCCACGGAAACAATCGCTGTCTAAGGAGGACAAATAAGCTTTGGACGGAGTGCCGAGAATAATGAAGATCAATTGAATCTGTGCGATCGTCCTGGCACCTAGATGGAAAGGTGGAACGAAGCGAAGCGAAGGAATGACCGAGACTTCTACCGGAGAAGATCGGTTTCCTTCCAAACATCTCGGCGAGGATACAACCCATGGACCAGAGATCGATTGCCTGAGAGTACTCCGTGTGGCCGAGAATCACTTCCGGGGCTCGATACCAGCGAGTGAGTAGAAGAGGAAGAGTATTATATTTATAATACAATATTCGCACATGAATCATTGAAAAAATGTTCATTATTAGAGTTCGATGATATGATTGGACGCATTCATTATTGTGCTTCATGTTCAGTCCTTTA